ATTTACATTCGTTATCAAAATAATGACTAGTCACACAAATATAATCTTGTTTAGCTCTATCACTGTAAATATCAGCGATTAGAGCCACACTATCATGATAACTATGTAATTTATTTCTTAATTCTAATTTCATTTTCTCAAACAATTTTATTAAATCATTTCTAGTTTCCGTTTTAGAATAACTTTTAAATTCTGGAAAAATGAATTTTTAATAAATCTTTCAAAATATTTATCTTCAGCTATATTAATAGGTTGATCAATTGCAGCAATATATAAAGTTAATTGTTCCCTATATATATTAGAATTATAACACCGAGTACTACCCATATTAGTTATGTGAGTTTTATTGGTTTCTCTATTTCCATGTTAATTCATATGTTTACTAGCATGCCTTTTTAAAGTACTAGTACCATTACCTGCATCAGCTTTATAAATATTTCCATAATACTTGCATCTTGTTTTCTTCACTTGAACTCTATTTTCTGTCTCGTAAAACTTTTCGAAATGCACTTAAACATCTAATGTGTGCCTGTCGTCAATTCCGACTGTAGTTAATGAACCCGTTTCTGCTTGAGATGGAGTTGGACGAGGACAACGATTACGAGGACGACTTCTAGAACCATCGGGAGTTGTAGTAGCATGGGGAGGAAGGGGGGAATATTATGAGGTGTATCGGATTCTGAGAATGGGAAAGCGGAACTATTTAAATCTACTGCATTTACATTAGTAAATTTAGGGGGACTAGGATAATTTTCTTCATCATCGAAATTGATGGGATGGAAATATCTATCCATTATAGTTAAAAAAAAAATAGAAAAAATAAAGAATTAAAGAAGGAGAATTAGAATTTGGAAATATAATTGAAAATTGCAAAAACTAATAAAAATTAAAATGAGAGAAAATTGACAACAAAGAGATTGAGAGATTTCAATAGAGAAAATGAGAGAATGAGAGAATTTGGGATGTGAGGAAATATGAGTTTAGACCCTACTTATAGAAAAAAAATGGGAAAAGAAAATGACCAAAATGACCCCTCTAACTGCTATAAAACGGTTATATTTTAAGGATAAAATAGGTTTTTGAAAAAAAAAAATATTTAATTTACTTTTTTTTGTCCAACCCCTAGGTCAACCTAGCACGTTGGCCATTGGGCACCCGTCGGGTTGACCAAGCAGGTTGGACGGGTTTTTTTTTTTTTTAAATATATATATAACTTGTCGGGTCGTCGGGTTGGCCTATGAAGGCTCAGCCTAGCTGACGAAGTATACCCGAGCCGGGTTAAACCCGGGTTGACGCGGGCCAAGTTAGGGTTGGCCTGCCTAACCCAGCCCATTTGTTCCACCTCTAAAATCAATAATATTCTTTCCATGGTTGAAAAGTAGGGAAACCTCTATCCACCCAATTTTATATAATTATCCAATTAAACGAAGCTTATTTATTTGTAAAGGGGGATCTATATTTATTTAATTATATGGATATAGAAATTCCGACGAGTGGGGTCTCAGTTAAAAGTTTTGGTTGAAATTGTACAAATTTACGAAGGCGAAGTTAATAACACCAACTTCTACCTCTATGGCTACAGGCAAAATATTAAACAAAAATTAATACATCTTAGACAAGCTTATTCAATTATGAGACATGCAACGAGAAGTGCACCTCCTTAAAGGAAAAGAAAACTTGCTTTAAATGTTCTAAAAAATAACTATATTGATGTGATAAATCTGCTCGATTAAAACTATTCATACAAGTGATAGTTTCTATAACTAATTCACATATGTGCATGGGTAGTTGGTAATTTTCTTTTTGTAAACGAGGTATTCGAACAAATTTACATATACTTCAAATAATCCTCAGAGGTATAAAGTGAAAGAATAGATAAATCTATTCAGTAATCACCCATATTAGTGTCTGAAGGAACTCGAAATCAAAAACAAAAGTTAGAACTATTTGATATTTTACCATCAAACCAAATGAAAAACCAATGGTGTTTAACAAGGGTAGTCATTAATGGAAAAGAAAAATTACCACTTATATTAAATTCAATTGAGTAATCATATTCCGAAATAATTCATTTCACCTAACGTATTTAATTATAGGAAAACGCCATGCGAGGAAATGGGGCGTCCGTAAGAAATATATGTAGCAGATAGGTTCTATTCCTATATTTGGGGAAATCTGTCATATCTTAACCAAACCCTTTACATGGGCTTGTCATACACTTCGATGGTTCGGGGAGACTTACCTGTCTTATAGTTTCTTTCTTATTTATTACATTAATATAAATAGTCTTTAAAACAACTTTACTATAGCGAGAAATTATGTTATTTAGCCCTATTTTAGGGTGTGAAATGAAAACTAGCCTCAAAGTGGAAATTATCTCACAAAATAATCAAATCCAATTTTCCTAATTTTGAACGACGAAATTGACCCATTCACATTTCTTTAGTTTTTTTCATCAAAACCCATCTAACCCATTCTCCATAACATAATTCCTATCAAACCACTACATTTTTTTTTTCTTTTTAATTTTCTAGAGGTGATATGTGTGATTCTTAGATGATTAAAAGATTGACAAAGGATATGTTAGTTTAATTGAGATATTTGAAAAAGAAAACCATTGTAGGGGCTATTTGTTACAAAAAAAAAAAAAAAAAAAAAAAAAAAAAAAAAAAAAGGTTGAAGACGAGAAGTGATTGATAATGGGGTGTCAATCATCGATAGGACGCGTAAAGGGGGTATTGGTCACTAATAAGACCTATAAAGGGGATCGCAATTTTTATAGATAGGCCTATTGGTAGATATCGGTTATTTCTCATCATCTTCAACCTTGGGACTGCCCTATAATTGATGCCACTAACATTGATCGATTGAAAGTCCCAGGTTTCATAAAAAACATCAAAATCCTTTAATTTGTAACATCCCTGGTTAGAAAATTAACCCAAACAACCAACATTAATCATATGTCTACATAAAATACCCTAATTAACATGTTTCTTACATTCTTATTTGACTCCAACACAATGCAATTTTTTTATATCAAAGATGTCAATAAAATAACATAATATCACCTGCATAAAATCGAAAAATTTAATGATTTGGTAGGGATATTAGTTATGGAGAATGGGTTAGATAGATTTTGAAGAAGAAGTTGAAGAAATAAGTTTGAGGGGGCAATTTCATCCTTCAAAATTAGAAAATTTTGGTTAGGCTATTTTATGAGATGCAATCCCCTATTGTGTTGAACATTGAGCAAATGTAGGCTAGATTTAGAATCAATAATATGGTTATACTAGAGTATTACTCTAAAATATTTTTTTCTTTAGTGGTGTTATCGACAAGTTTTAGTACATATATATACTAGAGTAAAAAATGCTTATAAAAGATTTAGTTTTGCTAAGTCAATCTTGAGTTTAAACCTAAAACGAAAAACAAAATAAATTTTAAGTCCTTACTTTAAATCTGCATAAAAATATATCTATATATATAATAATGCCAAATTATAAGTAACATATATCACAAATAATTCTTAAATATAGATGTTCACGTATTTTTAAAATCTCAAGTCATTAAACATTAACGACAAGTTTTATACAGTTTTTAATATATATATAAAAACATCGATTAAATTTTTATTACTTATTACTAGATAACACTAATAAATAATTTACTCGCATTAAAAAAAAAAAAAAAAAAGAATAATAATAAACTTGAAAGTTTGTACTTTGTCGACATCCCGGAGACAGATTTTTATATATCAAATAATGAAGTATCATATTATGATGTTTGTATTAAAAACGTACGTATAGGTAGAGTAGGATTTAATAATGCTAGTAGTAGTATGAGAAAATTATTATCGTCTTTTTTTAAGTAGCGAGCGTGACGTGATGGTGAACTCTAAATGCACGCATGTAGCAGAGGGGTTATTTAATTTTTACCCACCGGAGTACAGTCCCCTGTCGTGTGTCTTTGATTTCGTAATGTTTCAAAATTAATGCATGGTTGTACATTATTACGATGTCAAATTCCCAGGGACAAACTATTATTAATTGACGGCCCTATAGAATAATTTTGTTTATTGTTCATAAAATGATAGACTACAATTATTTTGTTTCATGTATACAATCAATCCACTATATCTTTCTAGTTTTTTTTTTTTTTTTTTTTTTAACGACCAGAGGTAGTTTGACTTATTAGATTCTTTATTTCCTAGTTGGACTAATTATCTTTTCCATTTGGCAGTTTTCCTAATTAGATTTATTGGCAGTTGATAAAATTATATAATGACCATTGAATCTTTAAGGGATGTAAGTCCATTGAATTGTCTTTAATCTTCAAGGGGAAGGGTTGTCTCGTGCAATCAAACAACTGTATGTAAGGACGATACCCCCATCATGTCTGGATCAGCTTACGTACATCTCAATTAATTTCTCGAGACCTTGAAACTATCGACAGGATAAAAATTTCACCTTTATTATCAATGAGGAAGGACTCGAACTCAGACTCTCTTGAGTAATGAGACCAACTACTTTGTATTATCCTTGGGATTATTGTTTCTTCTTATATGTTTTTAATTTCCAAGAACTGGAATTATTTTCAGCAACAGCTTCAGAAGTTAGAAATTGAATTGTCTTTAATCTTTATAATAGTGTTTTCATTATATACATTGACTTTTCTGCAAGGTTTAATGAAAAGCTGACTTCTACGTGACTACATATTTTCTTGTGTAAAGATCGAGTACTAATGGTAATATGGCAGCTTTTATTAATTAAAATTAAAAAAATGAAAATCAGTGTCGATAAAAGAAAAAGAAAGAAGGATTTTTAACCATATAAGTTGAGATTTTAAATATGGTGGATAGAGCATATATATTAATAAAGATGTAACAGTAGGCGACCAGTTTCTTTTCTCAGTAGACAAATTAGATCTTTCTGAGTCTCCAGTCTAGCTAAGCATAACAGTAATCAAGACGAACAAAGAAACAAAGTCACAGACAGATTTAAAAGCCTAAGCTAGAGAGAGAAAGAAGGCTATATGAGCCTGCATTTGGGTTTAGTTATTGATGGTGGTGTTGCAGGAGAGATGCTTGTTTGATGAGTCTGAGTTACACTCTTCTTTAAGATTGGTGGCTGTAATTGGGAAGAGCTGAAGGGTTTTGAGCGGTGGTCTAGATGCGCAGCATGATGGGGAAGGTGGTGGCGCCGCAGCCGCATCCATCATCATTATCCAATCACGACCGTACATTCCCATCAACGACTTCCCCATCTCAGCTCTACTTTCTGGTATATTCACCTTCCACGTGTGGTTCATCATCTGTTGGGGTGCATTTTCAGACTGTCCTCCCTGTTCAACACGTAAAAATTTCAAATAATTAAGAACTAAACATTAATGAAAATCTTCGTTCCTTCCTACCAATTCAGTTTTAAATAATTAAAAAATAATAATGTAGAGCAAACCAACCTATTTACAAGAAACCCTAAACAACTAAAACGGTAATTCTGATGAAATTCATATACAAATTTTTTAAATCCATGGTATATATCATGGATTTGGAAACAACAAGAATGGAAGCATACAATATGTTATAAGAGCCAAGTGAAAAGAATGATAACAATAAAAAAGATAAGGTAATTCTTTTTACCAATGAGAAATTCCTAGATTTTATAGACAATTGTATATTTAGTACACAAACATAGATATATGCGCAATTGAGATGTGATTTTACCTGGGGAAGGAATCTGACTGGACTGAAGCAGGAAAATTGTTGAAGAGGTGAAGAAGCACGAGAGTCAAAGTAGTGAAGAAGGTGGTGTTTTAGTTGACTATGGTTTGGCTGGTGATGATGATGATACAGTTGGTGTTGTTGTTGGAGTTGTTTTCCGAGCTTCCTTCTAAGCTTCTGTCTCTCCCTTGCTTTATGGTTCTGAAACCAATAGAACACATTCTTGCCTTCGATCCTGCCGTAAAAGGAGAGGTGGGTAGTGATGTGTTGAATTTGAGAAGCATTTGGAGTTCGAATCCCACTTCTGTACAATTCCTCTAAAATCATCAGCTGTTCCGGTGTTGGACACCACCTAGAGGAAGTTGCTGGAGACATTACAAAACAGTACAATAACTGTTCTTGGATCGGTTGCACTATCTTCTGATAAATATGAAAGCCGGGTTCAAAAGGAGAAAGATAAACTGAAAAGAAAAGTTTTAGAGACGACAGTGCAAAATCAGTAGAAAGTATAAAGAAAATATATAAAAGAGGAGAGACAAAAAGGATGGAGAGAGAGAGAGAGGCTCATATAGAGGAAAAAAGTACAAGGGCAGGTTGTCATGCTGATGTTTCCCTGAGAGGGGCATTCAAAGTGTAGGATTCAGTATATGCACAGACAGAGAGAGACAAGAGAGAAATATAAAGAAAGAGAAAGAATCTGGAGTTAGAGGAAGAGTGAATGAGCTTAAATGATTATGTCATTATCCTCTCATTATTATTCAGTTTCAACGGAATGAACAAGACATATATCCATGTAAAAAAAAAAAAAAAATTATTTCATGGTCCAGGACACACAGCCACCAGGTAAAATTCTGAACACAAAACTTTTCTCGAGGTCAATTTTCTGCTCCAACATCCAGCTACAGCGCGTGAAACACATTCCCTAAACTTTTTACAAAACATACATCCAAATATATATATTATGAAATATCGATCATAATAAAGGTTCATAGATTTTGGACTTGTAATTGAAACTTTGCGTAACATCATAGATAAATAATTTAATCCCTAGGTACGGTAATTAATTTTTTTTTATATCTTGAGGGGAATTAAATGTTAGTAAGGACATGGTTGGAGAAAGGTGATCTTATCTCTCCTCTAAAAATTTAATATTGTATGTATATTGAGAAACAATTAGAAAATATTGGAAAAACCTAAAGAAGTTATTGAATATATAAACTCGGCATACATTATAAGTGTGATATTTTAATCATCATTGGTTTGTCCAAAGGTCAACTAGGACTTTTGAGTGTATTATTCAAGAAATTCTAAATTCGACTCACTTGAGTTGAAATGATGATCACTGAGGAAATTTACCTAATTATCAACTTCAGATTTTAAGGTTTAGTTGAGATATGTACAACCTGATCAAACAACACCGGTCACGAAACAAAAATGTGTGCTGATTTGTTTGACATTCTTGTGATCTAAAACAGTTTATACATTTCTTATTATTTGGGGTTGTAAAACTGTTAATAACAAATACAAGATTTTGGCAGTGTTAAAACTATTTGACTCATTACACAGACCTGACATTAGCATTCACAACCAGCTGATATAAAGCAAGTAGGTGAAAGTCTCAGCTCTTTTGTCTTCTCTCTCCATACATAATATATTTTACGGTACAAAACGTGAGCTATGGACAACCACACTTACAAATTTCATAAATGCATGCAGATCAATGCTCTGTCCTTTTTGCATGGCCTTAATTATCCTGCGCTCTGTCAACATTCCCATTTTAATCTCCACCCTTCATTTCAAACACTAATACTAATTTCGTCCCACTCTTGCTTTTCCTTTTCTAGAATAAATGACTAAAGCAGTAGTGTATATTGTTAAATAATGGACTTTTACTGAACCATACAGTATGAGATTTGAGACAACACAAATGCTCCTGATTCATCCAATTTGTTCTATACAAATTATTATGATTTATGCATGTATTAAACTTTAATTTCCTCTCTTTGCTTTACAAAACTTCGTTAAAAGAAGAGAAGAGAAAATTTGAGGATAGAGTGGAATTAAAAGAACTAATTAATATATTGTAAACCAATTGAATATATATATATATATATATATAAAGTTTTAATTAAGTTAGGTAGTTATATATATAACATTATATAATAGGTCGTTTGAGGTATTAAATTAAAATCTTTTTCGTCTGAAATTAAAATCTTTTTCGTCTGAATCATAATGTCTGTATTTAAGTATGGTGGTCGAGTTACACTTTAACAGGTGACATACATAAGTTGGAGTTATGATAATGGAGAGTTGGCCATTGGAGAAATTAAAATATTCATAAATGAGAGAGGATGGAAAGGCCACCATGCTTGTGGAGAAATTTAATTTACTTGTTTTACAACTTATGAATTAGTCTTTAACCACGTACCTACCTTCAGAAAACAGAAGAAAAAAAGATTGTTGTTGGGGGGGAAGGGGGAGGGTGGGTTGTTGGGGGTTGGGTGTGGGTGGTGGTGGTGGTGTGGGGTTGTCTCTTTAGCCAGTTCAGCCTGCTCAAAGAACGACTTGTCACATTCAAAAAATAATATCCAACGATTACGATAACAATTGCAAGAGTAAAGAATTTTTTTTTTCAAGAAAAAAATGACAAAAACTGTCAAATCAAACCTGTAAATTTCTAATTTATGAATGCTTTCGTCATTCATGCACGGATGGTCTATATTTTGCTCAATGCCTTCCGATGCTGATTCGACTCTTCAATGTGTCCCTGCCATCTCATTCTCCTTTTATTCATTTCTTTTATTTTTTCTTACTTTTGTTTTTCCTTGACTTATCATATTATCTATTATACTTTTTTTTTTTAATAATAATCTAGTCAATTTATACGGATTTCAATTACTCATTCAAAGTTTTAAAATTATCTATCAGATAAAAACTCTAATGATCACTCCCATTAACAAATAAAAAAATATTCAAATTCAAAAACTTTTGAATAATACATTTAAAAGTTTTTATCCATTACACTTTTTTGTTTTAATACTTACAATTTTGGTCACTTTTTGAAAAAGAATTGTACCGCAGTTCGTTCGATTAATCTTTAATAAGTTCAATTTTCTTGGAAGCATGTTATTGAACGAGAGTAAAACAATTTATATTGAGATTAAAGAAATTAGTGGGCAGATTTAGATTCTGCAGAGGTCAATGCGGAGTGTGACTAGTAGCAGAGAGGAGACTCTCTGGTCAATATATGCAGACGTGATGAAGAAAGATGATTGGGACACGCTATATACGTTAGCGATTGGTGAGGCTCACTGTGATTTGACTACCGACAGATCAAGATTCCGTGTGTAAAGTAAGGCTATACCTGTTAGTGGGGAATGGAGCCACCTGCAGTTCTGCAAATTATACGCTCCATCATCTCACCCGTTCAATATTAGGAATTATCTTCAATCCTCATCGGGATGCAAATACCAGTAAGTAAAGTAACTGTTTAGACATCAAACCTTGACAAATTAGGGTGTGTCTGTATTTTATGTATATTATTATTTTATCATGAATCTATGACCCATGATTCTTGTATGACATTTATATTTGCAGTTGGAGAGAGTTTTTAAAATGAAGTCGATCACTTGAGAAAATAAGAATGTTGTTCTAAACCATTTTTGTAATATACCTAACGATTGGCATACAACTGTGATTACTTAAAAAATGAACACTAGTTCAAATTCTACATAAAGATTTCACTGTTTTTTTCCTTTTTCAGCCCCTGTCAAAGCTTGACCTTGATTGAGAACTAGACAGTGAACATAATTCAAACTTCCATTTCGCAGTTCAAGGAAAGGCTCAAAATATAATTTTTCTTTTTAAAAGAAAAAAATTCTCCCCTATATGGTGATCCATAGGATTTCTCTTAAAGTATTCGAGAAAATAAACAAAAAGGATGTGAATATATTATTTTTCTCATATAGAAAATTACTCAAATGTTTGGGCCCCATATACTTGACCGTATTGTTTGGGTATTTAAATACTTGAGTATATACAAATTAGAGATGATTGATGATATGGAATGAAAAATGTGTGTGCATGTGTATATATATATATATAATCCTTGGTAGGAGTTGGATGAAGGTAATCCAAACTGTCAGTGGGGAGTGACCTATTCACCATTGATTTTGAGATTAATGAACAGTGCCACTTCCCAAGATAGTAAATATAGTAGTCTCCACTCTGTAAATCAGACCAAAAAGTGAAGTTAAATAAATTGCACTCTCTCATAAAACCAAACCCAGATCCTAACTGAGGCTGCATAAGTATTTACATAAAGTAGCTGCAATATAATCAGAAACATATTGTGATGGAACGCATCAAAGTTATGACCATTCACGTTCTCTAAAAAGGCTAGGCCAAAAGCAAAAGCTAAGAAGAGGCCACTGTTTGTTTTAGTTAAAAAGCTGGCTTTGTTTCCTGTATATGTTTCTTAAATACTAATAAATTTTCGGATTAATAACAGTCTGTTGAATAATTAATTAAAAAGTTGTTTATTTTTAACTCTTGGGGAGAAACTGGTCCCTCTTGGCTTGAACTTCAGTCTTTCCCTTAGTTGAAGAAAGCTGTAACGAAATTCGTTAAATGCTAATCAATATATTAAGGGGGTGTTTGTCTAAGATAAGTACTGTTGTATTAAACATGGGAGACCTCATAAATGCAGCTGGCTTACACTAATATAGAGTTTTGAACCGACACGCAAATTATTCTGGAAATCTGTGTTTTATTTCATCCGTCCCTTTTTATTTGGTAGTTGTGGAATTGAAAGTCTAGTTCTCCTTCTTCGTGATCACTGTTAAATTCATTAGTTACGGAACTAAGGTGAAAATTCCTGGCCTGAAAATTAATTCTATACCTTCCTTATATATTAGTATTACACATGTCAAATTCAAGTCTTACAAAAAATAAAAATAATTTAATTACTCATAACTCTTTATTTTTCTATTATTTACAATATAGAAATGCGTAGTGACCATCGAGAAATAAATTCATGAAATATATATATGACGAAGATGCATGCAAATAAAATATAGTGGTAGAAATTAAAGGGAAAAAATGAGAGAAAAAAAGTTATTTAACTTGATAGATAGACAAATAAACCTTATATATATAAATACATTAATCTTTATGCCACCATTAAAGGTTCGATTGTGTTAATTCTAAAGATAGACCTTCCTCTTGTGCTTAATCCCAAAAGGGGTAACCTCTCTGTCGCACATATCTGAGCCATGCCAGACATTCCTAGGCAGATACCGTCGAAAATAGAAATATTCTGAGCTGTGATGAGACCCCTCTAGCGCCCTAATATGTGCAAAACCAGGACGCCAATCATCTTTCCCAGTCAATTTGACATACAGATAACAAACAGGTGACTCCACGCATTGTCCTGTTACTTGAAATTCGTCCACATTGCAAGCTTGAAATGGCTTTCTAGGCACATCATCAAGGACATCAGGTGCTAATGGATCCACTTTCCTTACATGCTTGGAGTTTAGATGTTTCACCAAGATGTCATTAGATTTCGTGTCACCAAATCTCAGGCTTACACGGTTTGAGGTTGCGGCACCCCTAGTGCATGTTGTTTCTATTGTCACCGTGTAGTTACAGTTTTGCTGCTGTAAACAATAGATAGTGAGAGGAATTATTAGTTGAATAATACTTCACTTACAAACTTTGTATATAAAAAATTAACGAGACATATAATGTTGCATGACTATACAACACACTTAATAAGGGAGACAAAGCTCTCATTTAAAACAATCTCTAAATCTATATAAAACCATTAATGAAAGAGAATCCAGACCGCAAGACATAAATTATTACCTTCTCTTTTAATTTGTGGAGATTTTCACCTCCTGCAAGTAAACCTAGCGAAAGCACGCAACATAGGAAGATCAATCCCCTGCAGTTATTGATTCTCATCGCTCTCTCGATCGACCTCAAATTAACAGGCACACGTAGTATCCCGTGATGCAACTTAAATATAGCATGAATAATTTGTTCTTTCCTTCACATAGCAAAAAGTTATATTCTTGTTAGCTTTATATGTTATAGCCCAGGTGATATATGAATACATCACAGGAGGGTTCCTTAAAGTTTACTTATGCTTTCTGCTTTTATCACGGATAAATCTTCTCTTTTCAAGAGCAAAGCATCTTTATAATCTTAATCTTTTTTTATCTCTTTAGTTAAAGATGGATTCTGTAATGTACTTTACGCGATCGATATGTTTGCTTTGCATGTTAGAATTTTTCCTTTCCGTCAAATTAATTTTAGACTATACGCCCCTCTTTCCGTTGGCATACACACGCACGCACAGAATTTTAACAATAACTCCACAAATTGAAGCATTGTCAACAGTCTGAATAAGGGATAATTAAATTAACGCCTGTAGTTATATATCTTAAAACACAATAAACCCCCAGTAAATAATTAAAAAAAAAAAAAAAATCGATCGAACGTTGACAATTCATGAGGTTTATTGTGAAAATATTTAGGGGTTTAAGCAGATAGAACTTTGTGTGATTCTCAATTCTACAATATATACGCTTAGAAGAAACAGTTAATTATAGGTCTATTACATATGCGTGGTTGTTGTGAAAGAATGGATCATCCATGTTGAAACCACGACAAAAAACACACAATAAAGAAAAACAAAATAGTAAAAGAGAACACATGATTTGCTCTTGTTCGTTTCAATTAAGAAACTACGTCCAGCATTCAAATAGGGAATTTTTTATTAAGTATCAGAAATCTGGCAACACATACAAAGTAGATGCTGACAGTTTCCCTCTCACTCTCTGTTCTTTTTTTTTTTTTTTTCTTTTCCACGCTAGGTTTCTCACAATTATAGAATATATATAATAGAATACCTAACCCTATTTTTATTTACCCCATCTAATCTGACCCGGACACAAATATTAATAAACTAATTCTAAAACCAATTAATAATTGAAATTACTTTGAGTTGTTGTAAGCTGATAATTAAGATAAGTATACACCATATTCAATAATCCACATATAAGTTTTAAGCAGCGTCCAAATTATGATTATTTTTCCTAGGATGTCCTTAACTTGAGATCTAAATAAATTACGAATATACTGTACGTGTATGTGTATAATATGTGCATTGAAAAAGTTGTGAAATACAAATTTATGGCTAGGTTGAAGTAGTAAGGAAGCAGTAATGCAGAATTTATTTTTGACGGGTCTGGATTTGCATAATGAGGTAGGTATTTGGTTAGAATTTATTTCAGGATGAATTGTGCACAGTTGTTAATATTAAATATAGATGGACATTGTGTTTGTCAAAATAACGTCATCGCAGTCTTATTGTCGAAAATATGATGATGAATATATATATATATCATTGGTTCTTCCGAGAAAGTGTGAACAAGAAATGGAGGCTCCACTCTCTTTAATAATGTCTCCCAGTCCCGCCATCATCATCAATACAACATATTTTCCCATTTTTGTTAAAGAAACTCAGACAAACGCTTTGGGCCTTTCGACCCGTAAACTGAAAGCCCATCCCAACTCTCCAGGTGAAGCTGGATATTATGCTTTGAAATCTGTTTCATGTTTTATAAATTAAGAGTGGTGTGAGGGAACTGATTTTTAACCCCATCAAAGTGTTTTTTTTTTTTTTTTTAATCTATGACCGAGGTATACTAGTTAATTTACACGCATCTTAACTAATCACTTGCATGTATCTTAACTAATCTTTATGGTCCATTAAACACTTTATAAACTCAATAATTCAAAGTAGGTCAGAGCCAATCTGTAAATCCGTCTAAAAAAAGGACAAATGACTCAAGAAAAGTTTTGACAAGATCACGTCTCTCCTTAAGGGTGCTTTGGACTATAAGAGCTTCAAAGATTTTGATATGGTCATGTAGGCTGTTAATGAAGATGTTTCTTTGAAGCAACAAATTTTTGCTGATCTTGAAAAATATTGTCCACCATATTGCAGACTTGCAAGTAACACTTCCACAATTGACTTGAATTTGATCGGTGAGCGCACTAAGTGTTAGGATCGGATTGTTGGAGCCCATTTCTTCAGTCCGGCTCATATCATGGAACTCTTGGAAATTGTTCGTCCTAAAAAGATTTCTTCCCAAGTGATTGTGGACTTACTCGATATTGGTAAAAAGATAAAGAAGACTCCAGTTGTGGTCGGTAATTGCATCGGCTTTGCTGTCAACACTCAACAGGATGTTCTTCCCTTGCACATTTCACATAGGACGTAGCCAAAATTCTGTGTTAGTGGTTCAAAACATTAAAATTGGTAAATTTATAATAAGATATATATTGAAGTACTAAATATAAAAAATGTATTTTTAAAAGTTATATATACCAAATTATCAATTTTACAATTGTTCTCCACGATTTTTCATATTCTGAAAACATTATATAATTGTTTCATTGACAATTTCATCAAATATCTCTCTCTCAATATATGTAATAAGACAACTATTTAACAATTGATCTCCTATTCGATTCTATAGTCAATTTTTCACAATCTTCATTGCAGAAAACGTTCTTTCAACATTTGCAATTGCAACAGGTAATATCAATGTTAATTTCATGTTTAAAAAGATAACAACACAAACAAAAACATCCTTATTTTCTGCACTATACTCCAAACAATTTGCATATTCTCTAAACCAAATAGGATTAAAACGGCACATTACATTCTCAATTGCTCACTTTTTAAAATTATGATTGTGTGGTTGGCAAGGTCTTTTTTGCAAGTATGTCTTTCTCCCTCTGTCTCTATCATTAGGATGATATTCTAAAATTTCAATCCTCAATCCAGGATCTGCAGGAAGACTACTCAAGTTAAGCTTAACATATATTTGTCTTGAACTAGATTTCATAGGCTCATTATGAACACTATTGTGACGCCTTATGTTTTGTTCAATTGATGGTTCCTCATTAGAAAACTTTCTTTCGATAAAAAAACTTGTCCATAACTAAAAAAAAAAAAAAAAGAATTTTTATTACCACAAATATAATTTGTTTGCAATTACAATTAAAAAACAACACAAATTTATCAAAATTCAACTCATAACTTAGGTTTTTCAAACAATTTCTACTAACCCAATAAAATTCAACTCATAAACCCATGAAAACTCATCAAATCTAACTCTAAATATCAAGCAACTAACCAATATATCGAAATTAAACCAAATCCCCAAATCTCAATAACTTAAGGTTTCATCAATTCTTTAAACCATATTCAAAATTAACTCAATAACTAACTACAATTTATCAAACCTAACTTAAAACAACAATTAATTAACCCATACCTCAACATAAATAAGATTAAATCAAAACCCACATTAAAATTTAGGAATTATTTCAAACTCATTTATTAAACTCAATAAAAACTCATAACTCATGATCTTTCATCAATTAAGAAAGCTAAAAGAAAAGAATTAATTTTAAGTAAAAAAAATAAAAATGTAGTATCATCTTACCTTGTAATCCAAAGTAGTAATCTTTCTTGAGTATCCAACCAAAAGAAAAATATAATATGAGAGCAAAAGAGAGGAAATAAAGAAAAAAAAAGTTTAAAAAGAATTAATTAATAATTTTTTTTATTCGATCAATATAAAGTTAAGTGGGATTAAAATCGTAAAATCTATAAACTATTAATATTTTTTTAAAATTTTTAGAAAGTTCAATGGTTCAATTGAACCCAGAAACCACTATGTGAGTACGTGTCTGCTTACATACGGGCAGCTTTTTGGCTTGTTGAACGTGGAGCAGATCCTTATCTGATTGATGGGGCAATTACCAAATTTAGAATGCCAATGGATCCTTTCAGATTGGCTAACCTTATTGGTTTTGGAGTGGCAATTGCAACTAGCATGCAATTTATCGAGAATTTCCCTGAGAGAACCTATAGATCAAGGATTATCCCAATAATGCAAGACGATAAAAGAGCAGGTGAAACCACCCGCAAAGGATTCTACTAGTATGATGATAAATGCAAAACTAGACCAGATCTTGAACTAAAGAAATACATTGAGAAGGCTCGGAGTGCCATTGACCCAATGTTTTCTGATTTATCAGAGAAGGACATTGTAGAGATGATATTCTTCCCAGTGGTTAATGAGGCCTGTTGAGTATTTGCCGAAGGTATTGCAGTCAAAGCTGTTGAGCTTGATGTTTCTGCTGTAAAGGGCATGGGTTTTCCAACTTATAGGGGAGGTAGGGTTGTGTAAAATTACCTGCTATCCAAACCGAAATGAATCGAATTTTTCGGGTACTGAAAATTCGGGTAAGAGTTTATAAGGTATTCAAATATTCGGTTTGGTTATGGGTTACATTATAAAATTAATCCGGGTACCCAAAACCCGGTGTAATTAAAAAAAAATTAAAAGATCAAAAGTTTAAAAATTAAAACACAATTTATTAATTATTATTTCCTTTCTTATCTTTGACTCAGAACAAAAGTGAAAAGGCCTAAATTAATTTATTTTAACCGAAAACGTTATTTGCCTATTTCTTCTCCAGACTCCAGTACGCATCTTATTCTTCAATTCTTCTTGATCTCGAGCTCGACTTCTCCAGTTCTCCACCACTCCATTTCGCATCTTCTTCTTCAATTCTTCTTGATCTCGACTTCTCCATCTCTCCACCACTCCAGTTCACATCTTCTTCTCCAATTCTTCAACATTCTCGTTCCAGCTGTTCTCCTTCTCAATTTTTGTGTCAGTTCTCAGTTCGATTAAGTAGTTCAAAAGTACGTGTTTTCTTATTTAGTTATTTTCAGTTTGATTAATTTTTTTCTATTTTTTATTTTTGGGTTCCTTTATCTCATTAATTTTTAATTATCTAACAGTTGACATAATTAATTAAGAAAAATCAAGCATTTAAGGAAGATGAAACTTGTGAAGGGATCTTCCAATCTAATCAAGTAATTAAAAACTAGAATCAAAAGCTTTTTACAAATGATTTTGTG